GAATGATTTAGGTCTTCTGAGGACAGGGCTTTGGACTGCACCTTATGATCTTCAAGATGGCTATTTCAGTTCAAACCCCCGTATAACTGGGGAACAATACTTTCCAACGATCCCTCAAAATTTGCCTATGAGGCGGCGCGAACTCGACACCAGGATGTAATATTTTGTGGGTGAACCAATGCAAATCAGGAACCAGGGTCCGGTCGTTCGCAAAAAAAAAACAACGATCTCCGGACCGACGAGTTGGTGTTAACGAAAGGCCAATGGAAACCGGCATTCATCAGTCTCGTTTTTACGAAGGGCCGGTGGGAGCCAGAAGCCATTATTTGAGAACCAGTAACTACGACACTTCACTGCCCTTTGCATAAACTGATTACAGTTACAACCACTCCAGGATCGCTTCACGTGCAGGGTGCGCTCGCCCACCGTTAAGCTACCTTCCTGCTTGCAGACGCTGTCTCCAGGAAGTAGAAGTACTGAGACTTATCCTTGTTTGTGCGAGGTGTTGTTTTTGAAGGCTGGAAAGCATGTTGTGCTAAGCGGTTGAGGAAACGTGAGGATTTCTAGCGTGGTGCCGGTGCATGCGTTGGAATGCCTGCTTGGGTACAAACAGGGTGGTAACGAGTTGTGGCGACTTTTGTTCGCGTGCCCAAATTAGGTTGCACACGACTGGAAGAATGAAACGGACCGCGCACGTTTGCACTGATGGCGACGATTTGGTGACAGCTCTTCGACACTTAAGCTACAGATAACTTGGAATCTCAATCGCCCAGTTATGCTGCCCCCCTGACGGTGGTATGCAAATCTGTTTGGTCTGTAACTGCTGAGACGGAACCCTCCGTGAAACTTCTGCCTTCCACTCCTCGGAAGGGAGCTGCTGCCCGCAGGAGACCTTGAGCTGCTGTTCGGGCGGGACCCACCGCTCTGACTCCTTTACTGGAACACCCACGCCCTGAGGACGCCGTCGAGAGGTGTCAGACTGACCCGCTGCCGCTCGGGCCGCCGCTGCAGTGGCCGCAGACAGAGCCTTATAAGGCCGGCGCCGGCAGCGGCTCTTCAGACGGCTTAGTCCGCCGGTATTACCATACAGCGCTGCACTGGACGTCCGGCCCGCTCGCTCCGCGCCGCCCCCTTCCCGGAGCTGCTGCCGCCCGCCCCCGTGGTGGGATTATGGGTTTCGGTGAGCAAGCGGCCGCAGCAGTTGCTCGCAAACCTGCACCTCCTGACGAAACGCTGGGCCTGGAGGAGTGTACCTCGCCGTAATGGCGTCGCCTGGTCGGTGTCGGAGAGCGACGCCGCCGACCAGGTGGGCTGTGATTCCCGTGTTGCCATGCCTCGGGATGGGCGCCGCTGGGTCCGAGACATATTCGGCCATGTCTCGTGGACCAGTCTCGAGCTGGTCCAGCACTCCCGCCGGCATGAATGTCCGTCGACGTGGGCGGCATGTGACGTTCTGCACGTGCTGACCGCCAGCTCGCGCCCAGTAACGCCGACACGTTTTCGCGGGTGGTCCATACCTGTGCTGGCCAGAGGGCGAGGTCGGCTTCAGAGACCGAGGCGCTCTACACTGGGCCTCGCCACACGCGCTGCAGACGGGCAGGGCTCCATGTCGGCTCGGCTGCGGCACTCCTGCCCCCCACCCGAGGCTGCCGTGCAGGGATTAGGGCCTGTCTGGACGCCGCCCGCGCACGCGAACCGGTTTTTTCGGGCGATTTTCCGCACGAGCGTCGCTGTGAAATTGGCTGTGCTTAAGGCTAGGCTCAGCTGGAAACAGCGTCCATGACGTCAGTCTTATTCCATGGTGCAGACACGTGACCAAACTGAGCCGCTCGGTGCCGGAAGCGCGTGTCCTTGTCGTGTTGTGTGGGCTCGGCTGCTGTCGCGCACTGTGCTGGTTGCTGCCTCACGGGAGATGTCAGCCAGGGTCGGTCGCCTCACGAGAGTGACGGGCCAGTCAGGGTCGGTCGTCTCTCGCGAGGGACGGGGCCAGCCAGGGTCACCTCTCGCGAGGGACGAGCCAGCCAAGGTCCGTTGTCCCACGCGAGGAACGGGATCAGTCAGATTTACGTGAGCGTGAACAGGGCAACATTTCAACTTCCTGTACCGTTCGGTATGTGACATTCGAATAGATGACGCACGTCAGAGCATTAGCGTGTCCGCGATGTGGATTTCAAACTGGTGCTCTCCGCGTTGTGTAAATAGTTCTAGGCAGCGTCTGAACAGCATGCGGTATGGTCTGTCTCGTCACCTGTTCGTGCGCTCCATTGCTGCCGACAATTTTTAATGCGTTGTGGACAAAATGCATAGCTGGCAGCTTGCTTCACGCCCGATTCCACGTGCACCATAGTCCTTTCAGTAAGAAGAAAGCACAATGAGTGCTCGATCGGCTCCCTCGTCATTGGAGATGACGAGGGAGCCGATCTTGCCGAATTGCATTTGAAAGTTGCTAAATCACAAATCAGGCAGACGTGTCTCAAGAGCATTTATGCTAACGCTGCAAAAAGCAGAACTTACACATAGCCTTACATACGGTTTGCTCTCCCGAACTTTTTCAAAAATCTTTGACACCTTTCACGCTTTGGCTTTTTGGAGACTTTTGGACAGTGAGGCCTGTTATATAGCGCATGGCAACGTGGCGTGCCGTAGATAATGCATGGATGATGTGCCAAACGACGGTCACAAAGCAGCCCAGCTTCAGAAAAGTACTGTGCTCGTCTAAGACGTTCGTGCTCGGCAGGAAGTACCAATTCGATGCAGACTGGCAGGGTTTTGGCACTGGTGTATGTTGTGTGGTGACGGCAGGTCCCAGTAGGTTCACTCGGGTGACTCGCTTATCCTGTTGGGCGTCGTGTGTCCGTGTGTCGTCGAAGATCTGGTGAGTCATCCCGAATGAACTGGATGACGACTTGTTTTTCCTTCATACGGACCAAAATCCTTGATGACCAACCTCCAAAAGGCTCTCCATGGAATGCGGTGACACAGTTGAGACGCCTTGATGAACTCAGGCGATCTGGCAAGGCCCAGATTTATCTCTTGAGCAGACAGCTTCGTACGTACCTAACCCAGTTTCATGATAACATATTTCGGTTTGATTCCCATAGGCGGCGCTAACGTTTATCAATAAATCGAAGACTAAACGGTTGCAGTGTCCGCTGACTGGGCCAACCGCCGTCGCGCGTGGGCACCCACTGACGCCGGTTACTCACCTCCCTCCGGCTCAGCTCGTCGCCGCGCCGCCGCCGCTCCCTTTCACCTGTGCCGGCTCCTCCGCCCCAGACGAGCCCGAGGCACGGATGACGACGGCGCCGCCTGGCCGGTAACGGGCGCCGTCGCCACAGCCGGCGGTCCTGACGCCGTAGGGGTCCGGCGTCCTCGATGCCGTCTGCTGACGCCCCCAGCAGCGCTCCCCCCAGCCCCAGCGCCGCCAGGGCAGTGACGACTGTCGTCCAATAAAAGCCGCGGTCGCCCGCCCCGTCCACCTTGTGTCTTCGGCGCGCGGGTCAGCAACGCGGCCCGTTTTGACACGAGCAGCGGTCCGTGACGACACATGCGACCGCCAGCGCCTCTCTTGTTGGCTGGAGGGCCGGGGTGCGTGCGGCTCTCGTGATTGGCCCATCTCGGATTGCCGACTACCCGGTCTGGCTTGTTCTAGAGCAGGTGTCGCGGTGGCCGGCATCTCTGTAGTCGCTCAGACGAGCGTCAAGGTCCGACTGAAGCCCCACGTGTACAGCATTAATGCCGGGGTGCAGAGCGGTGCCGCAGGGCCGCGTTGCCGGGCGGCGGGCTTCAGTCGCCCCGCGGCGGCGGCGGCGGCGGTCTATGGCAGGCCGGGTGGAGACAGGTGCCGGGTGGGCGCGGCCCCGCGTGGGTGGAGCCCCTCCTATCGTCGGATCGGTCTGGATTCTGAATGGCCTTTGGACGGTCGGGGCCTGCGGTGACAACGCCGTCCGAACCATATATGGCTGGGCCGCGCTGGCCAGCGCTGGCCGCTTACAGGGGTGTCCGACCTGCGGTGCGACCACCTGTTCGGCACGCCGACGAGGGCTGTTTGACCCGTGATGGGCTGCGTTGCTTGTTTATTGTGCAGCGCTTTTATGCCGCCAAGCAGGCTCTGGTCAGGACCCTGGTTCGCATTCTGCGCGATTTGCGGAGAAGACCTGGGTTGGTAGGTTTTACCCTGGCAGTCGAGGTGACCCAGTTACCCCACCGTGGTGGCCGTCCCGGACTGTCCTGGTAACAAGCCCTTTGACCGTGGTATCAGCAGTGGCGCCACCTAGCCAGGCCTCGTCGCCCGGCCGGTGTGAGGAACGCGCTCCTGTTGGTCCCAACCGCTCCGTCCGAAGTCCCATCGCGGATGGCGGAGGTCAGCAACCCCTGACCGCGCCAGCCCTGGGCGACTCCAGGCTGGGTCGTCCCCCGGGAGGCCGCCGTCCCCGGCGTGCCCCCTCCCCCGTGCCGGCGCGTGCTGCTCGTCCGTGCGCGGCGTGTCGTCACCGGATGTGCCGAGCGCGCCGGCCCGGTGACGCCGGTCGCCGGGCGCCTGCCGCCGGTCCGGCCGGTCCGGCGGCAGGCGCGCCAGGTATGCGCGCGGCCGCCGTGTTCGCCGCCGGCCGGCCTGCAGCAGGCCATTTGCGGCGGCTGCTGAGTCAGCCGGCGGACGCGGCCGGGCCGCTTATAAGGAGACGCGCGTCCTGCACTGACCGCGTCGATCGGACGCGTCGCTTCTGCCGCCCCGCCCCGCACCGCCTCGCAACGGGGCCGACCCGGCGCGCCGACCGCGCCAAACGGCCGGAGCCGGAGCGGGCCGGCGCGGCGGCGCGGCGCCGGGGCCGGCCGCGCCGCCGCGCCGCCGCGCGCATAGCTGGAGCGGCGGTGCGGCCGTGATCGGGCATGTGAAGCGCGCGGCGGTCTGGTGCTGGCGGCAGCGGTGGGGAGCGGACGCGGCCCGCTGCAGGCGCTGGGGTGGAGGCCGTGGCTGTTCAACAAACCACGAGGGAACAGCCGGGACAGACCCCTTCCGCCGTGGCGTGGAACATGGAATACATTTTTGCCATGCAAGCTTCCGTTGCGTTTCTAGCAGTATTCTGTCAATAATCCTCAAATGGTGTTTAACAACAGACTGCATGCGAACAGACGCCTGACGCTGGCGCTGAGATGAGCTTGTGATATAAGCGCTTCTTGCATGTTTGATGGTTATGTTGTTTTTATGTTGCGTTGCCGTTCTTCATTCTTCTTTGCGTTATTATTACGGCATCGGTCGAGAATGACGCCGTATGCAGACTGTGTTGTAAACAGTGTTTTTTGCATTGAAAACCTCCGTGTGCGGTTGAACGGTTTGTCCCGTGGTCATCGTTTTTGTCTCCGTTTTTGGCGACCGTTCGACTCAGGTGACGCGCGTGCTGACGTGTCATTTGTCTTTTCAGAGGGAGAATATTGAAATGTTCCTGAAAGGCTGTGAAGCGTACGGCCTGAAGCCACAGGACCTGTTCCAGGTCAACGACCTCTATGAAAACAAGAACCTCTACATGGTGAGTTGGTTCATGCGCTGGTTTTCATCATGTCAGTTGAGCATTAATGCCCTCTCACGCACGAGGAAATTCGCCACTGACCTTGGTAACGCCCTAAAGAACACCGAAAACACCGCACTCTGACACTGAATGTGCCAGCTAGATGCGCTTTTTGCACGTTTGGCGACTGTCTGCAGACTCACGCAGAGCATGGTCCGATATTTCATCACCCGGCGCCGGTGAATGAGACGGAGTGCATGACGTCACCTGCAGCCACTCAAAGCAGCGCCTGCCTCTGCAGAACGGCCCCAGCCTGACCCCTCGCACGTGCTCCCGTACACGGCCCATTCAGTGCGGCCTCGTCCGCTGCGTTCAGCAGCCTTCGCTGCGCGTCGAGGACTGCTATCAGCTGCACAACACGTCTGACCTTGCGTATCGCCCCGGGCCAGCGCCGACGCGAGGGGGGTCTGCGCGCGGTGCGGGCGCTCCGAGCGGCGGTGCGACCAGCGCACCAGGCCGCCCTGCCCTGCCCCCCAGAGCCACGTGTAGAACACGACTGATGACGTAGGGTCCAGGCGCGACCATGCCCCTCCGCGGACCCCACCCGGCACCAAAGGCCAAATCACTGGCTAGGAAGTCGGGTAGCAACTTTGAAAAGCATGAATGCCTGTCCCATTGGGGCACCGTCATTGTCCATGGCGCCGTTTGCATGGTTGGGCAGCGGCTGGCAGACACAGGTGGCACCCGTTGGTGGCGCCTGCTGTACGTGCCGCCACTTCCCTCCGTGCTTTTTCAGTTTGACTCCAACCACCTATGACGTCAGAGTTTCGACACTGCATTTTGTCCGACGGCAGCGGCCGTCGCCAAGCCTCCCTTGGAACTGACGCAACAGCTTCCCCTTCCAGAGCAGTCCTCTGCTACGGAACACGTCATCTGTGTTGACGGATTAGGAGACGGTGCCCTCCGCCTGCGGAGGTCAGGACGTGCCCTCCGCCCGCGGAGTCAGGACTGTCAGATCCGTGCCCTCCGTCTGCGGAGTCAAGACTGTCAGCTCCCGTGCCCTCCGCCTGCGGAGTCAGGACTGTCAGCTCCCGTTCTCTCCGTCTGCGGAGTCAGGACTGTCAGCTCCCGTTCTCTCCGCCTGCGGAGTCAGGACTGTCAGCTCCCGTGCCCTCCGCCTGCAGAGTCAGGACTGTCAGCTCCCGTTCTCTCCGTCTGCGGAGTCAGGACTGTCAGCTCCCGTTCTCTCCGCCTGCGGAGTCAGGACTGTCAGCTCCCGTGCCCTCCGCCTGCGGAGTCAGGACTGTCAGCTCCCGTGCCCTCCGCCTGCGGAGTCAGGACTGTCAGCTCCCGTGAGCTCCGCCTGTGGAGGTCAGGACAATAACTGCCCATACCTCTGCCATACGCTGCGCCAGCTAGTCCCACAGCGCAGTCGGCTGCTGCCACGTCGGTGGTTGCGTCAGCCGCGACGATGGCTCGCCACTCGCGCCGGCGGCGGCCTCCGGCGGCCAGCACGCGCAGGAGGCCGCTGGAGGCCGCCTGCCGCCGGCTGACGGTTTGACGGCGGCCTCAGCCGCGCGACAGGCGCCGGGCGAAGTGACGCGATGGCTGAGTCATTCTGTCCGGTCGTCGCGCCGTTCAGGTCGACCTTTGAACGGCCGGAAAACGGCGAAAGGCGTGACATTTTGCGATGTTGCTTGCCATGGTAGAGCCCTGAATGGTAGATCTGGACACCTGAGTTGTTCTGGACATAGCGAGGGAAGGTGAGGAAAGGTATAAGACAAAGCTCACTTTCACCCACAGCATTTCCGAAAACCGTGATCTGAGCAGACCAACACCGACACTTCACTGGACCGCTAGACCATCTTGATCCGTCCTCACGGACAGCAGTCCGGGAGGGGGCTCCACCACCCACCGTTCCGCCGCAGCCGGCTGCCTGCCCGCCCGGCGCCGGCGTGGCGGGCCCGCCGAGCCCGCCCGCGTCGTCCCGGCGTCACGTCCGTCAGGCCGTGCCGGCTGTGCTCTGTGACTGCGGCTCGTGTTACCGGCGGCCGGCGGCCGGCGGCCGTCACGCGGCCGAGGAGCGCCGATGTTTGTCGGGCTCGCGTTACCGAGCCGCCGCCGCGCCGCCGTCAGCCACTGATCGGGCCGCTCTGTTTCAGGTGGTCGACTGTCTGTACGCGCTCGGCGGAGTGGTGAGTGGGCGGGGCCGGAGGCAGGTCCTCTGGTGGTCACGTTGAGGGCGGCTGGGGGCTGGGGGGGGGGGGGGGGGGGGGCTCGGGTATGGAGTGGTGGTGTTGTGGTGCTGGGAGTTATCTGCAGGTACGAAATCGTGGCGTGTGGCCGATGCATGGACGTGTGGTATGAGGAGATGACTGGTCAGAGGGGTCAGCTGCGGCCTTGGCATGATGCCGGGATTTGGTCCGGTATCAGCCGGATACAACCGTGCCGTACGCTAAGGGGCGTTGGTAGGGACAAGCTCGTTGACGGTTTTGCTGCTTGCATCGTGTCTGGTCAAGGTAACTCTGTAGTCCGTAGTCGGAATGACAGGATGGCGGAGGAGGATCCGATGAAGTTTTCTCGTTCACGTCTTTGCTTCACAAACTGGTACTGACCAGCGATGACAGTGGCGAATCATTAGACAGCTCGCAGAACCTACTGCGCCCACTGATGTTAATAATACTGTGAATGCTTCCTGGCGTAGGTATCAATCATGGAGCACGGGCTCATGGCGCACGACACTAATAAATGCCTATGCGATGTGGCGTGCAGGCATTGTACTGCCTACCATGTGCTATACTTGGCAAATTGTTGTAGTAATACCACGCGATGGTGTGGTTTCGATAATGGAAGCGTCCTAATCACTCACATCAGCATATTGATGTCTCACGCAACTCCGAGGTGACTTTCATTGGGCCGCTGCCTGTGCTGTGCCATCCTCCTCCGTGGGAGTGACCGACTGCTCCCCGTCCCCAGGCTCAGAAGAAGGGCTTCGACGGCCCAGTGCTGGGTGTGAAGGTGGCCAACGAGAACAAGCGGAACTTCAGCCAGGCCGTGCTGCGGAAGGGCGAGCAGGTGATCGGCCTGCAGTACGGCAGCAACCAGGGCGCCAACCAGTCCGGCATGACCGCATACGGCGCCGGCAGACAGATCCTCCCCAACGGACGCTAGGCGGCGCCACCGCCTTGCCGATAGGCGGCGCTGCTATCGGCGTTCGGCGACGCCAGCCCGTGACGGTCAACAGCATGTGATTGAATACCGATGTGTCGGCACATTCCGGTTATATGCATGTTCGTCCTCGCGCAGTGAAGCGCGGGAGGCGTCTTGTACCGCCGATCACCAGCCACGAGAAGTTTCATCGGGAGCAAAGCTCTTTGCCGTTTTACAAATGTGAGATTGTATGCCATAGGAATAGTGTCAACGTATTAGAATATACAGTTTTTCATGGAGTTTTTACGGACTCGTGTCTTCGCAATACGCTTTATTAATATGCACTGTTCCCGCTTCGTCGTTTGGAATTTCGGAGGGCGCATTTTGGGAGTGAACCATGGCTGGAGCTCAACCACTCAGCGTTCTCCCAGCCGCTCGGGCTTCGCATAAATACAGATGGCGTTTGTGACTTGGAGCTTTCCTTCGAAGCAGGGGACAAACCAGGATTCCATGGAGTCACAGTTTTGAATATTTCCACGCGCAGAGTGGAGGCTGGAGCGCGAAATGGACAGGAAGCCGATAGCCATTGGTGCAGGTGTTTGAGTGACCAACGGAATGGTCGGAAGCATTTGGAAACCTGGATTTAAAGGAGTCTGGTATCCCAGTCAAAGCCTGCCCTGCGGAATGCTCCTACTCTGATATGGCTCCCCGTGTAGAACACCCATTGCAGCACTCTCCCTTGTCAGTGACGCGGTAGATGTTAAAATAACTGATTTGATCTCTATAACAATGAAGACTGGGAAAGCCTAGAACAAGCGCTTACCCCTTTATGTGCTCCAGTATGCACTTGGCCTTTGTGTGGGGCCCCTTTGAGGCTCCAAGGCGTGAAGGCCAGGCGCGGTTACCCTCTGCGCCCGCGACGAGCCCGGCGTCTGAGGTGGTTACGACAGGTTCCGGCTAACACCATCCTTCCGCCGAACCACGCCACCCTTCCGCGGTGAACCACGCCACCTTTCCGCGGCGAACCACGGCACCCCTATGCCGAACCACGCCACCCTCCCCGCAAACCACGCCACCCTTCCGCGGCGAACCACGGCACCCCTACGCCGAACCACGCACCCTCCGCGCGAACCACGCCACCCTTCCGCGGCGAACCACGTCACCCCTTCCGCGGCGAACCACGGCACCCTCTCGCCGAACCACACCACCTTCCCGCCGCGAACCGTCGCCCTTCCGCGGCGAACCACGCCACCCTTCCGGCGAACCACGGCACCCTTCGCCGAACCACGCCACCCTCCGCGGCGAAACACGCCACCCTTCCGCGGCGAACCACGTCACCCTTCCGCGGCGAACCACGGCACCCTTTCGCCGAACCACGCCACCCTCCCGCGGCGAACCACGTCGCCCTTCCGCGGCGAACCACGTCGCCCTTCCGCGGCGAACCACGTCGCCCTTCCGCGGCGAACCACGGCGACCTTCCGGCGAACCACGGCACCCTTTCGGCAAACCCCGCCACTCTTCCGGCGAACTACGGCACCCAAACACGCCTGACAAAACTCGGGTTGTATAACATAACATATAAACTGGCTACCATTAACAAACAAGGCTGGCTATATCACAAGCGCCGTTGTCAGCAAGGACCTAAAAACATTCGCATCTCAACACTCAGAGGTCGCAGTTCGCCGTCCACCATTCAGCGCCACCAGCCAACCCCGCAGGAGCGGAGGGCCGAGCGGCGGAGGGCCGCGCTGGACGCGCCGGAGACCCAGGCCGGCACGCGCCACACCAGCTGCGGCGCCCCGACGGCGGCACCGGCTGCCATGGGTCAGCAGCCGGGGGCCGGAGCGGTGACCCAGTTCCCGGCCGACCCTGAGGGCAGCGGCCCGACGCCCGGCCGGCGGTGCCTCAGCGCCACAACGACGTCTCAGCATCTCGGCATGGCACAGCACAGCGTGGCCGTAAGGCACTGCCAACGGCCACCGATCGAGGTTCCGCGACCGGCGGCCCGCCTCCACGCGACGTCCCGCCCGGCGACACTGACGAGGCACCACTACCGCCGCCGCCGCAGCCGCAGAGCGCCGTCAATGCGGCTTCGGCACGTGGCCGTCCACGTAGAAGTTGCGCGTGGCGGCCGGCAGCGTGAGCTCCACCCCCTCCAGCTCCTTGGTCAGGATGATCTGACACCCTGCAGACGGAGCAGCGCGGCCGCCGGTCAGCGCGCTGGCCGGTAACGACTACCCCCGCCCCCCTCAGCTGGGCGCGCTGACATGGCGGAGGGGGGGGGGAGGGGGGCTGGAACAGCCGCAGCGTTACGCAACGCGCTGACGGACGTCGCCACGCATCTGTGACTTGGAATACCTCCCGTCTGGCACATCCAGTCTGCGCCGCGAGACAGCGGCAGCACTGCCACCAGTATATGAGAATGCAAGCAAACAGTCTGGAATAGAATCAGGGACAGATATGCAAGAGCACCACGAGAACGGGCCAAAGCACGCGCATATAACGATATTTGGAGTTCTGCTAACAACGTACCGATAAGCACGACACCTCTTGACAGGTAAAGAAACCACAAATTAAGTCACTCTGTCCGCTAAGGTGGCGACTTTGCAGGGCCACCTCGGCAGCCACAAAGACATCATGCAAACATATCATGCGCAGAACGCCACGACGTAATCGACGACATCTTGAAGAGCGTATTTACGAAATGATTTTTTTGCCTAGAAAAGTCTTTGGTACTTAAAAGCACACCAACTGCTACAAGCCAGCTTTTTCATCATACATGATGCTTGCCTCAATACCTTCAATGTGTGACATTCCCTTCAAATAAAGACGATATTTTCCTGCTCGGTAGACAGGCACTGACGAAGGCTCGTGGGAATCAGTGAAAACACGTCATGGTGCAACACTGCCATGCGATGCATAAATGTCACAACGAGACGTGGGGAACATCAAAAGACAATACTCAGGGATTTCGAGAGCGAGGTGGAGGCCCTGCCATCTAGCCTCCATTCAGGAACTACAAGTATGTCAAGACGACACGACATATCGTGGCGCTGAGTACTAGCCGGCGATGTTGAGTGGCCTACGTCACGACAGTAATGCTGTTACTCTAACAAGTGTAAGGCGGACATCACAACTGAGGTCTGTTAGGGCACTTGACGTGCGAATACCACTAGGTCATCCGAACACATACTGTGGTAGATGTAAACCCAGGTCTCCACACAGCACGTGGAAGAAACATCAAAACCCCAACAAGTTAAGTGTTGTGAGCCATTGACATATACTACCTTAATGCACCATGTTAAGAGAATTTCCCCATCTCTGTTGTCTTTCAGTAGCACACACCTCCCTCCGGTCCATCAGGAAACCGTTGACTGTTTGGCGCAGGGGCGCAGCCGGATTTTGCGACAGGAGAAGCTACCTTGATTTACGATGGGAGGCAACCTTTTTCACGATCGAGTCCCAACCCAATGGCAACACCTGCGCGCTTTGCACAGGCCAGCAGATCCTACAAGCGCTAAAAGGAACAGTACCTGGCATATCAATGAGCTATCCATGTTGGTTTACTTTGAGGCCTTCAAGAATTGTTTTCGGCGCGTTTCAAACATATTTACTCTTCTATGCTCCGGTATTGTTGCCAAATTTCAGCTATTGGTCTCTAGATGTCGCCGCCTATGTCAGTATTAACGAGATTTAAAACCAAAATAGTTGTCCTGATTACCAGATTCTGCAATATATTCAACAGTGTTGTGCAGAAACACTGTGCTAAGGCCTGATGGGGGTTTTCGGGGACCCACAAGCCTCCCCCCCCCCCCCCCCGACTATGCCACTGGTTTCGTGGCTTCGTCGGTCGGCTATGGTCCATTCTGACCAGAAAGGAATTCTGCACGCCAATCCTGACCCGCAGTGAGCCTCCGATCTCACCCAGCCTGGAGTTGTCGCGCAGGAAGACGGCCAGGTCCAGCATGTCCTCCTCGTCCTCCACCGGCTCCGGCAGCCGGTCCACGTAGTCGGGGTGCACGTACACGTGACAGGTGGAGCAGGCCAGACTAGCCTCGCAGGCGCCTACGGGCGGCGCGGCGCCGCGTCAGCTCGGCCGGCTGAGCGAACGGGGGCGGAAGCGAGCGGGCGCTGTTGGCGGGGCGACCTCCGTGGCCAACACGACCCTGGGCCCATCAACAACAGTGTGATGGTGGTGTCCCAAACAGCAAGGACTATAAATCAGAGATGCTGCAAGTTGCTCATACCAATCGCATGTCATCACTTCATGTGATATCTATGGACAGATTTATGCAATAGTGCTAACATCAATTGGGAGGAGGGATAAGACAACAGTGAAAGGAAAAGTCAAAACTGGTTGCAGCAATACATATGACTGAAAACACCTGACTGGCACTGGCTTCTTTGATCCCAGATTTAATTGTTGTGTTTTCTCACCTTCCAATTCAATGTTGTATCTGTGGGCCAGGTACATGACATTGTCTCCAACTTTCCCCCTCACTGGAATCCTTTCACCTTCCCGATTTATGAAGACCACATTCACTCTGAAAATACAACCCTGTCACATTTTTTTTATTTCAGAGTTCATGGCACCAATATATCCTAATTTTCAACCCTGTTAAGCAAACACTAGACAAATTCTCAAGTGAGCATACCACTCATATCTCACAACTTTAAGGCAAGCTATGCATGACAATCATTATCAAAGCCATGAGAGTCAGGGGCATAGCTTAATTAACAGTTGGAGGCTTCAGTCACCAAGTTTGAGAAGATAGTGGATAAAATCTGGAGAGAGACAAGTTGGTTGGTGAATTTGGCAGATAATTCCATTATCTTGACTGCTCAGCTCAACTGCTCACCAACTCGATTTGCAAAAATACACCCTTGACTGGCTTATATAGTACTTCAATTATTTAAATTAATATTCAATTAATAGTACTTCAATTATTCAAACAAATCACTTGTACTTACACTTCATCTTCAGACTTTGGATCCTGCCACTCATAATCCCCATGAAGCCTCACTGAAATAGCAACAAAAATGACATGGTGACAGATGGATCATGATAATACTTCCACAGTGCACAGCCCACCACAATGTGTCATGAAATACCTGTATTTAACTACAGAACAGTGCATGACAGTACATTTGAGTGCCCAAAAAGCAACCATAATGTTACTTTAAAATGTACTTGAGAATTAACCAGTCACAGAGAATGGCATCTGCTGTGAGCTTCTCAGTGGATGGAGGGACCATTTGTGGGCAGAATGGGGCAAAACAGCTAAGACTGCCCATGGGCTACCCTGAGTACACAGAAGTGCCCTCATGGTTACAGCCACCCCTGAGTCACCAGTCTTCATGAAGTTCCAAGATCCCCTTCCTGTCCCTGCAGGGACTTTCGAAATACCACAGGCTACACATGGCTTTAAGCCCCATTAAAAACTGGTGCTTCAAGCAATCATTAACTTCCCACTGAATGGCCAGATGGGTCCGCAAGTTCACCAGGTGGGGATTACAGGCAGCCAGCAGCTGCTTTGGTGTTGCCCAAACTGCTGCTCCACAAGCAACCTTTTTTTGGCAGGGGGGGGGGTCTAATTCAGTATGAGTAATTTCTTTGCCCTGCATAATCCAAAAAGGGCACTCCTGCGCAGTCCCAAACTCTTGCCCGTGCAGCCCAGAATCCAACAGTCTGCAGCCAAGATTTATTGAGATAATTAATATTTGACAAGAGATCATTGAGTGTCTAGCAATACCAACATGTTAAGGGTAGCATTCAGTAGGTGCTGGCCTTTGCCACATTAAGCTCAGGCTACACTGGGTCAGGCTGTCCACAACACTTGAATAGCCTATTTGTTATATTTCCCAATGATGTCACAAATTACCTGAAAAACATAACCCTATAGCACATGCTAACATGATCATCTTTCTTGAATCTGGGACATTTGAGATTATTGCCAAACTGACAGGTTTGGTAGGAACTGACTGTAAATTATTGATATTGTTTTAAGAATAATTATTGTTCAACACCATGCACAAAATGAGCTTATGTGTCCTTGTAAAGGAGGGTTTACATCTTAAATATGATGATAATATGTGTCGCTATCCCCTAAGTATTGCCAACAGGATTAGAAAACTAGCCCCATATCCAGCACAATATCTGATTAATGCTATGATATTACATGAAAAACAAATTGACCACAGTGCTTTCTTCCAAAAGCAGCAAATAAACATCCAACACTCATAGGTAACAAGGCTTGAAAGCTAGCAGCCTGAGTTATTGGCTTGCCTTCAAATCCTTTGAATTGTAGTATCTGCACAAGTACTATCTGTTCTTTCTATACACACGTTTTGAAATATTATCTTTGCTTAATCTTGCCCACCCATGGCCATGAGTTCAAGACCAACTTCAAAGCTTGGTTTTATCGATAGGAATAAAAACGCAATACACACTTAACGCTATCCTTGCTTCATCACAGGCCCTGCCAGTTCAATTACTGCGCAGCTGCGCCGATAGCGCTGCGAATTACCTGAGGATAACGCGAGAAACCTCGCCGGACTCTGATGAAGCAGTTCCACTTGCGGCCCTTTCACCACCTTCTCCCACGCACGAAGTCCTAAAATTGTACAATACGACGCTCTTATTGTTCGATATGCCCCCAAGACCCGACCCCTCACGCACCCAGCCATAGCTGCCGGTTTGGGCGGTAAAGGCGGTCAAGGTCAGCGGACTGACTAGAGCTGAAGGGAAACCCTGTTGTGGAAGTGCGCTGACGTCATTAGAAGGGTGTTGCTGTAAAAACGTCAAGAATTCAGGGATCATTTGCAACCAGGGGCGTTTAGGTGCACAATCTGAGTTTGTGGGCAAGGAAGCGGAGGAACTAAACAGGGAGAATGACTAAATGACGCCAAAATATGGATTTTCCCGGATTTCATCAACTTTCACCTCAAAGCCAAGGGCTGGAACCAGTCATTCTCACGAGTCAGATAAAGATAAATTTTGTCAGTGTAAAGTTTCCATTTACCAGAAGTTCACATTCACCAACACTCACTCTACTTTACAGTGTACACACGCAACCAGCAACAAGCTTGCGTCTTCCGGTCGCGTGAGTATGTCCGGTAACAAACGGCTTGTCTAATATTCACGTACTACCTCCAAACAAAAACGAGTTATAACCACGTGTTACAACAATAATGCGATATCACGTTATTTTTAACCAATGAGAAGCGTATACGAGAGCGTGCAATGGGCGGAGCTAATAAGCTAAACGAATCACAGAGAGTGGTATCGCCTTGCGATCCCTGGAACCAACGGATGCAGCCGACGGCTGAAGAGGCGCTGAGGGTGACTTTTAAAAATAAGTTTTGAACCACAATACAAAATGCATGCATGAATTAGATTCCGATGGTAGACAAGTTATGTGCTGAATGATCTGTTTGCTCGCTGTCTGGGCTTAAACGGCAACAGTTCTAGTAGCCGCACATAAGCGACCCGGGCGGCTGATGCAACGCGCACCACCCGGCTGACGCTGAGGTACCGGCCGGCAGGCCCGGCGGGGCGGTTACTGGGTGGCTGACGCAACACGCTCCACTCGACCCAGAGTGACATCACCCGGCCGGCGGGTCCCAGCGTGTCCCAGCGGGTGCGGTGGGATGGTTATGTGTGGCTTGTAGATGGCGATTGGCAAAGAGCCTCAAATTGGACCTTTTGATGCCGAAAAGTGGACTTTTGTTACATAACAGCGCGAAGTCCTTTTCATGAAATTTTGGCAGCATGTTTTAAGTGTATGGCGTTCTCTTGGCCAACGCACACACACAACTATTAACGCAACATACACTGGCTATGGCGTCTACAGGAAACATACGCATTCATAGAAGTTACGTTACACACGCCATAAAAAATTAATTACCGCGTACACTCTAGTATCATTATTATGATGAACAGTTGATCTACTTGCTCTAGTCCTTTTATTAAGTGGTTCATTGTAGCAGTTAGACATACTTTTAGCAGCAGACTCGCAAATGCGATCGCTGAGAGGGAATGCTCCACACTTGAATGCATGGAGGCAAGCATCATATATGATAAAATTAGCTCACTTGTAACTGTCAGTTTGTTTTTAAGTGTTCAAAAGCCGCTCTGGTCAACATAATTTCGCTATTTAGCATGCATGTTTCCCCACGCGTCATCGTTTGGCTATGCCATGGAACGTCTTTACAACGTTATGTCGCTGCCAGACTGGCCGTGTCAGAATCACCACTGTATCCAACGGGCTGATTCATTTCTGGCGCTTCAGCTTGCTGAGAGATGGCTATGTGTTGTTAAATCGTGTTTGCGGAGCCGAATATCGTCACGTGTTTGCGTCTTTTCTGTGTTTAATGTCGCTTTATTGCATTCACATACCCAGCCACGGCGTTATCTATAAATTATTCATTCGGGGTCTTACGTCTGCCGCAGCCCGTACCACCGCACCAATTCCTGTCTTTTATAACATCAAACGTGATTTGTGTTCGGACATCCGTCCGCGTTATTCTCTCGCGCTTCATCCTGCATTCTCGCGATGCCTCATATCTCCGGGGTAAGTCGCATGTGCCAGCCACAAGTGGGCTGAAGGGTCCCCTGGTGGGGGTCCACGTCCGGGCACCAGGCATGTGCCCGACACATGGGTCCCTGTTCGGGTTTAGTCGCGACGGTTGGGTCCCCAGGTGCACGTCGTCCTACCTCACCATTATCCATGTTCCTTCATTCCATAGCCAAGAAGTGGTCATTAATGGTCGAAAGAGCTTTAATGAAATCACAAAAAAACAATGCTGTGTTTAAAACTTGCGCTCCATGCGTTGCATTGACTGAGGGCCAACTGAAGTGCGTTGATGTTAGAAATTGTGCTGACGTACACCAGACACGGATAGCCCGATGATCAGGCATGTTCTTGGCCTTGACTTTTACACGGCCAATGAGGTGCTGGGAATTCGTGTGAATGTTCCATGGGGACGTGCATGCCAGGTGACCTTGAAATAGTTAACACGAAATAGTTCGTACAAGTTCGCGCCTGTCAAGAATAGAAATCACAGGGCTTAAAGGAAATAACCCACGTTTGGAGACATTAAAACAAGCGCCAGATAAGCTGAAAAGCTTGCTTATTGCTATTGACACCCTTTTGAAGGGAATGCTACACATTTGAAGACATTGGAGCAAGTATCAGATAAGATGAAATAAGCCTTTTATAGCAATTGGTATACTTTAAAGGGAGTGTTTCATATTTCATGGAGGCTTAAACAGAAAAGACATTACAGATCATCTGACGCAGTTTACGGCCCTATCTAAGGCCTCCTGTTTAGCTGTACGCCCGCGAAGACGTGCAACCTATTTCGGAGAAACTATTTCAAGATCACTCAGCAGTCGCGCAGCCAGAGCCTTGGCAAGGGTGGCGGGCACAGGGTTGACAAAGAGCCCGCTGATAGTGAGAAGGCCCCCTCTCCCCCCCCCCCCCCCCCACCGGGAAATCGCCAAATATGGCACATTTCTTAACGAGGGCATGCTTTTCATTTATGTTCTTATTTGCAATGTCTAACTTGAACAGAAGCCAGAAGCTCCCGCGCGGTGAATTCTGACTGAAAGTTATACTCCATAAACTGAAGAAATCATGCGTTAAACAACTGCATGAAATGCATCGACGGTGTTCCCCATTTTACAATGGTCCAGTCGACTCCTTCTAAACCGATAGAAGCTTAGAAGGAGTTATGAAGCTTCGTCATAACTTCGTTATGAGCGTAGTTTTGAACATGCGCGCTAGCAGATCTTAGAAACAAAAACCTCGACGCCAGGCGCTGCAGTCTCCCAGCCCTGGCAGGCCCAGCAGCGGCGGTCCTGTGGCTAACATTAAGTCGTGGGGAACAGGCGGACGAAAATTATGACGCATCTGAAAGACGTACCTATGAACGCTTTAGGACATCAAATCGCACTTTAAAAAGGTCGTCCAGGCGCATATGTCACCTGCGCGATCTCTTAGATTGGTGTTATAGCACATTGGCATTTACAGCGCCGCGCAGTGGCGCTGGCCTGGATCTGGTGGTGGAACTGATAAAGTCATCTTCAGTTTTTTCATGTTGCTGTAAGTGTTCATCTGTTCTGAAAACAACCTCAAAATAAAAAAAACGCCCGGTCTTTTCTTTGAACGGTGCGAATTAATTTTGGAACGCATTCGCAACTATCATTTTACGACGGTCATTCTCGCGTGGGGTGCGTGGTGTTGCAGTAGCCCAACGCCGTTTGGTTTTCAGGAAACTGCAACCCAGGCCATCGCTGTCCTTGTCGCGAGATTTGGGGTGCGCAGGCTCAAGCCTTTTGGCGTAAGTTGTTCCACTAATCGATGCTGCAAAAGAATGAACGTTCTCAGGCAAACATGGGATGACAATGTTGGTTTTTAAACTCATGTCGACCCGCTCATTTCAACACTGACGAGACCCATTACTTCCGGACAAGGGGTCTTCTGAGTAGAGCGCTAGGGGGCACATTTTTGTTCCCGATGAGGAGCTGAAGGGCCGTCCCACCGCGGGGTGTCTTCCGCCTGCCATTCTGACGACACGAGGTGGAACCCCTGGTCGATCCGGAGGCCCTTAAAGGGATACATCATATCACATTGGTACCTTCCTGACGCGGAAAGCCCTCGGGCTTCGGTTTAACGGGCTCCTGCTGGAACTGGGCTGGACTCGACTGGCACGGGACACTCCCATTATCTCAACGTGAACACTCATCATAAGCTTTAATATGTTCTCCTTTTGTCAGATGGCCCCGTCCAACGCAAGAGGTCCGTCTGTCATTCGAGGTCCCGTCCCCGTCTATGTTGGCCAATTGTTCCCATGACTGAACTAAGACTTGACCGGCCCCTTGCTGGCATAACACACCCTGTTAGGCATTGGGCCCCTGACCGATACAGAAGCCCAGCATTGTTGCAGGAGGCCCTGTCAATGCAAATCACCGACCTGGCCTTGTCCCTGCTAGGGAAATGGGCACCCAAAGTTCTGACTGGCAGGGAGCTGACTGTTCGGTACTCGTGGTCCCTGGCCGACCGAGACACCAGCGTTGTCTCAGGGGTCTTCAAGCAGTGTAGAGGACCTCTGACTGATATTTTAGGTCACGACCCTTCGGGCCGCAATTCCCTACATGACCTAGAGCCAACCCTTCAGGCCTTCATGTCCTCCAACTGATCCCTTGATCGTTGGTTGCGCTGGGCGCCCGGGCCCATCTTCGGACCTCATGGAACATTGCCCTTGGTCGGCTCGGGGTCCCCTGCAAACACAGGACAATCTTTTAGGCACTGCGGGCCCCTGACAGATACAGGGGCCCCGACCAATGTAAATCGCTGGCCCCGGCTTTGTACCTGATTGGGAATTTGACCCCCGGCCCATATGGACACTGAGCTGACTATACGCTACTGATGGTGCCTGACTGACACATAGGCCCATATCGATACGGAGTCCCCGATCGGCGCAAAGAGCCGTCTGTCACTTGAGGGCCGTTTCTGCAGGCTGGAGCCCCTGAATGAGACCCGACCAGAACTTTGTGCTATTAAGCCCATCAATCGGGCCCTTGATCGCCGGTCCCGGTGGGCCCTCCAGGCTTTTGAAGCCCCCTCAAATACTGACTCTGGCATACTCGGGCTCCTTGCCAACACAGGACCCCCCGTCAGGCACTGTGGGACCCCTGACAGACGC